CAATGGCATACAACAACCTAATGCCAGTGGCCCTTAAAACTTGATGCACAGGCTAAAGGGTGCCATCTACTGTTCTACTAGGGCACTTCTGGGAACTAGTGCACAGAAAGGGATGCTCAGGAAGCTCTGCCTACCTCTTTTTAAGGTTTGGGGTCATTTAGCACAATGGTCATGCAGTACCTGTTATATACTAGAGGAATTTCCACAATAATGAGGTTTCTTTTCAGTTTGGCTCCATTTCGTTAGGTGAGCCAGTATCATGTGGCAATGCACAAGTAATTTTAGCTACTTGGCTCTCCCATTGAAAGGGGTTTTTAAAGCTACAAGCAAGCTAGTGCTCCAGTGGAATTTATTTCTAAATTTATTGCATATGAGCTTTAGGTTTAAAACAAACATCTTTCTTGTTTGTTAATTTGTTATTCTTATTTAAAAGAATACATATTCAATAGTGTGCACTACAGGGTAAGTACTGGACTGCCAACTATAGGTTGATGGTTCAAACACACGAGCCGCTCCACAGAAACCCTATACATGGCCGTTATGAGTGGGAACTGACTCGATAGCACTGAGCAACAACATGCAATAAACATGCATATGCAATACAAGCTACACACATGCAAATTAAATTTAATATATTAAAATATGAGACCCAAACTATGACCCTTCAGTATATCCCACCTGAATTTATTAAGACCATATTAAGAATAGATTTGATGTACTGAACACTAATGACAGAAAACCAAATTGTGGAGTAACACCAAGGATATCATGCATTAAGAAATCAAAATGTCATTAAAAGACAGGAAAGGAAAAAAAAGATCAAAATAGATCTCAGAAGAGACTCTAAAACTTACTGTCGAACATAGAGTAGCTAAAGCAAAGCTAAAGCAAACAGAAGAAATGATTAAATAAAAGAACTGAACAGAAGATGACAAAGAGTGACTTGAGAAGACAAAGTATTATAATAAAATCTGCAAAGACCTGGAGTTAGAAAACCAAAAGGGAAGAATGTGCTTGGTGTTGCTCAAGCTGGAAGAACTGAAGAAAAAATTCAAACCCCAAGTTGAATATTGAACAATGCAAAAATCAGGGGACGATAGAAAGAATGCAGAGTCACTGTTCCCAAAACAGTTAGTTGACTCCCCATAACAATTGTTTAGCATTCACCATTTCAGGAGGTAGCGTAAGCTCAAGACATGATGATATTGAAGAAGTCCAAGCTGCTCTGAAGGCATTAGCACAAAAGAAGGCTTCAGGAATTAATGAAATAGCAATTGAGATGGTTCAACAAATGGATATAATGCCAGTTGTGCTTACTCATCTATACCAAGAAATTTGGAAGACAACTAGCAGAGGTCCATATTTGTGCCCATTTCACAGTTGATCTTTGCCAAAAGACCAAGAAGCAATCTGGTCCAATCCAAAGAAAGGCGATTCACCAGAATGTGGAAATTATCAAACAATACCATTAATATCACATGCAAGTAAAGTTTTCCTGAAGGTAATTTAAAAATGGCGATAGCAGTATATCTATAGGAAACTGCTAAAAATTCAGTCTGGATTCAGAAGAGCATGTGGAACAAGGAATATCATTGCTGATGTCAGGTGGATCTTGGCTAGAAGAAAATACCAGAAAGATGTTTATCTGTGTTTTATTGAGCATTTGATTGTTTTGTTTATATCATAACCAGTTATGGTTAATATTCCAGATAATGGGAATTCTAAGACACCTAATAGGGCTTATGAGGATCCTATACCAAAAGGCAGTAATTTGAACTGAACAAAGGATACCATGTAATTTAAAATCAGTAAAGGTATGCATTAAGATGGAATCCTTTCACATGCTTATTCAATCTGTATACTGAGCAAATAATCTGAGAAGTTGTATTACACAAGGATAAGTCAAAAAGTATTGTTACTGGAATTTCAGTTTATACATGCATGGGTTTATTCCAAACTAAATATGTATAAAATTTTGGAATAAACCCATGCATCTGCCATCAGTGGATGGCTGTAGCTAAAGTCTTCCAGTAATACACGTATCTTTGTCTTATTAGAGTCCCTTCAAATAGAAAAAAGTCCAACCACAACAGTGGCTGCTGAGCCTGGGCCACTTACATTCAAGGTACAGAGGTCAGCTCAGAAGGTTTATAGGGGCAATCAGACACCTGATGTGGCACTGTAGGATCAGCACTGGACTGTGAAATCACAGGGTTGTCAGTTCAGATCCACCAGCTACTTCTCAGAAACCCCATAAAGCGTTGATATGAGCCAGAACTGACTTAACAGCATTTAACAACAACAAAGGTGTAATCTTGATAGATTTACTCAAGAGATACAGAACAATTATTGTTAAGTGCCAGTGAGTTGGTTCAGATTAGATTCATAGCAACACATAGTATTTTCATGAGTAGCTGGCGGCTTTGCTTATTTTAGGAAGAAGTTTTAAGAAAATTTAAAACTTTACTAGTGACAGAAAGGTCAGGAAAAGTTGGCACCGAGGAATTTTTTTTCCATGATGACACCATATCTGCTCATTCTTGATGGTAACAAAGGGTGGTTCTGTGAGAATATGCTTGGAAAACTGTACCCCATCCACCCTACAACCTTGCTCTCACCCTTCAGACTTCTTTTTGTCCTGGTGTGGCGCTGTGGGCTAAAGCATCAGACTGCAAAGTTGTTTGAACTGCAAGGTCGGTGGTTCAAGGTCACCATCACAAGCTCCTCCTTGGAAACCCACGCAATACAGGGCTGTTAGGGGTTGGAATCGACTTGACAGCACTTAACAACAATGACATGCCTGGAGTAGCAGAAGGAATTGGAGTTTGTAGCTAATTGCGTCCATAAACAACTGCCTCTGCCATAAGACCAGAAAAAGGGGATGCTGCCCAGCTACTATTACTATTCAATAAAAAAAAAATCCTGATCAAAAAGGGACAAACTATAGAAAATATTTTTCTTACAAACTTTCTGAGGCTGGATGAACTTCTAAAATAGTTGTCCTTAAGAGATCATCTTTAAGCCTTAAACAAAAATATCCCCTAAAGCTTTCTTTAAACTACACAGTAAGTTAGCTAATTTAATAAAGAATGTTTGCCTTGAACATCACACTCTTCTTTATGAAAATACTTTGTTGTCGTTGCTGTCAGGTGCCATTGAGTGAGTTGGTTCCAATTCATAGTGACCCCTATGCACACAATGAAACACTGCCCAGTCATCATATACCACCCTCACAATTACTACGTTTGAGATTTCATAAATGACAACCCTAAATTCAAAGAACATTGAAAAAGAACAAAATTTGAGTTCCTTGAGAATGTTCAAACTGCTGTTGGGATGTGATATAAATCAGAGTATAGAATTCTTCAGGGAAGGTGTTAGAGATGGAAATACCGCTTTCAGAAGTGTATAGACCTAGACAGTAAACAAGTCAAGAAATAGTACCTTCATATTTTGATATTTTTGTTGAATAAAGATTGCTATGAATTTGTACAATACTTTTTGACAAGAGTCCTGGTGTGACGCTGTGGGCTAATGCATCAGACTGTAAAGTCGTTTGAACTGTAAGGTTGTTGGTTCAAGCTCACCAGCTGCTCCTTGGAAACCCTATACAGGGTCGCTATGGGTCAGAATCAATTTGACGGCACTTAACATGTATGAAAAAGAATGCAGCATTAGGATCAGAGGAAGACTCAATAGCAACCTGTGATAAGCAGATGATACAACCTTGCTTGTTAGAAGCAAAGAGGACCTGAAGCACTTAGTGATGAATTTCAGACAGAATATAGCCATTAATATGGATTATTTCTAAATATAAAGAAAACAGAAATTCTCACAATCGAACCAACAAACAACATCATGATAAATGGATGAAATACTTGTTATTAATACTCTCTGTTACTGTACTTGGATTTTATTTTATTTGGATCCAGGCTTAGAGACCAGTTATTGTGCCTTGGATGGATGCTTGAAAGCTTTTAAGACCCCAAGCGGGACACAAGGAGGCACAACAGAAATCCTGAAAACTATTACCTGTATGCTGTTGTTAATGGACTCATAGTGACTCTGTATAGGGTTTCCAAGGAGCAACTGGTGATCTTCAACAGCCTACCTTGCCGCAGTCCAGCAGCACATTAACCCGCAGTGCCATACCAGGACTCCAGAACTAGTGTTGTTGTTGTTGATTGCTGTCAAGTCGATTCCGACCCATAGCGACCCTGTATAGGGTTTCCAAGGAGCAACTGGTGAGCTTGAACCACCGAGCTTGTAGTTCAAATGGCTGTGTAGTCTGGCGCATTGCCCACAGCACCATACCAGGATTCCCAGAACTAGTGTTGTTGTTAAGTGCCGTCGAGTTGGTTCCGACCCATAGTGACCCTGCATAGGTTTTCCAAGGAGCGACTGGTGAGCTTGAACCACTGAACTTGTAGTTCAAACAGCTTTGCAGTGTGGCACATTAACTCACAGTGCCACACCAGGACTTCTGTGTAGTATTTGTAAATTATTTTAAACCTGACTTTCTAAAAATCAGTGTAAACATTTAACCTATGAGTATTAGTTTCTTTAAGAGAAAATTTATCATTTTATTGATAGTTTGACAGAAACCTCTATGGTGGTGGTGAGCATCGAGTCTATTCCAACTCATAGCACCCTATATAGTGTTTCTGAGGCTGTAAGTCTTCACAGGAACAGAAAGTCTCATCTTCCTCCTGAGGAGCAACTGGTAGATTAGAACTGCTGATCTTGGCAGTTTCCTGCCACAGTTGCTGAAGTCACTATGACTAGGATAATTGAGGAAAAAAAAGATAGGCTTTGTTCTTCATTCTTGTTGATACTGAAGGTTTCTACTCTCCTTAATACAGAAAAGTTTTGATGCTCACCCAGTAATTTCATTAAGGTGTTAAGCATTTAAAATCTACTTCCTGACATTCTGTGTGATCCCAGAGCAGTGGAGGCAAAAGGGGGTGGGTACAGGTTTTGATCTCTTGTTTCCTGCACAGGCACCAAAGCAATGGAGCAGTCATCGCCCGCTGTGGACAGCCAGAGGTCAGCTGGTGGGGCTGGCGAAATGCAGATGATGAACACCTAGTACAGTCAGTAGCCAAAGCTTGTGCCTCTGACTCCCGATCAAGTGGCAGCAAGCTGTCAACTAGGAACAGTTCTCGAGACTTGCCCAATGGGGGAGATCTTTCTGATGTGGACTTTGGTAAGAAGTTCCAGTTTTTTTTTAAAAAAAAGTTCCCTTTTTACCTTTTTTTAAAAAAATTGTATCTCAGGGCTTTTTCTTTTCCTTGGAAAACTGTTTCCTAGCAGAGACAGTAAAGCTTCAATTGACTGGATTGTTTGAGGAGTCATTGCAGGCAAAGAATCAGAAGGCCCTTCCTATCAAGCTTGTTTTAAGAGGGTGTTTGTTACATGTTGTCTTTCTCGCAGTTAGGACAAGACTGGAGTATGTATCTACCAGGGTACTTCCTGGGTCTCCAGGCCATGAGGAAAATATCAGGCTTCATTAAAGGACTGCAGACAGGGAAATGAGGGAGGAAATTAGGCTACATGGACCCCGGTGTCCAGGGTTCTAGTTAGGTAGCTTTCATGAGTTACTTTTGTGCTGTAATACAGTTCTTATTTTACACAGTTCTGGGAGAGGAAAGTTCATTTGCTTATTCTTCTGCCCTCCCACCCCCTGCTGTCTCTAGATTCTTCTCTGTCAAATACTTCAGGAGCAGAGAGTTTAGTTATCCAACCACAGAAGCTTTTAATCCTGGATGCACGGTCTTACGCAGCAGCCGTGGCAAACCGAGCCAAAGGTGGAGGCTGTGAATGCCCAGGTGAGTTATATACTGTGCTTCATCCAACCTTGTGCAGCCAGCTCATACCCAACCGAGACCTTGTTCTCAATTGGGAACAATGGCAAACCATGTTCCTCAACCTATCTAGAAGAGCCAGAGCTTTTTTTTGGATTCTCACACTGTTGATGTCAGGGGAGAAACAGAGGAGGAGGGCAATGAAACTAAATGACCTTCCTGCCCTGTGCTGGCCTTGAGGTGAGAAGGAAAACTTCTCTCCCATCACACAGCCTGTTCATGTTTGGAAGCTGCTGCTTTAATAGCCCAGTCTCTCAGCCTTTTAAAAGCTTTCTGCTGCCTTTGACAGTGGGTGTGTTCATCACTGGCCTCACAGAAAACTTCTTACATGGCTTCTGCTTTGAAAAACCTGGGCTGGAAATAATAGTTGGAAATTCAGAACTCTTGCAAAGTGACTTTTTCCTGACCTCTATCACCCCTGCCTTTTGAATGTTGGCCTTTCCGCCAGGAGAGACCCTTTTGGTGCCAATTCTGTGCTGATGAAGCAAGCAAAGGCACCAGGCTCCCTTTTCAGATGTAATCTAAACTGGGAAATGAAAGCTGTTGTAACAAAGTGAAATTTGAATGTATGAAGGCATTGTTCTACCAGGTTCTTTTCAGTAGAATAAGTTGATTCTAGAGCCACGAGTTAGCTGAGACCCAGTAAGTAAACTAGGGTGAGATGGAAGTTTCTAGCCCTTTTTTTTTCAAAGAGCAGCTTCTATTTTATATCAAGTATCCTTTTCAGAAATCCAACCTTTCTATTTTGCCTGTTTTGCAAAGATGGCTAAAACTCAATGTTACAATAAAGGACTGGTCTATAGTCAAACATCAAAACACTTCAGTTTCATTAGTCAGCAGCTGCAGTGTATAGTGCTGTGTGTTTTATAACCAGTTTGCGTTCTTTAAATTTGGCCATGCAGGCTTTAAATTCAACATATTTGTGTTGTTATTCTCTCTAGAGTATTACCCGAACTGTGAAGTAGTGTTTATGGGGATGGCAAACATTCATTCTATTCGGAGGAGCTTCCAGTCCTTGCGGTTGCTGTGTACACAGATGCCAGATCCGGGAAAGTAAGACTTTAGCCTTGGCGTTAGTTTTGCGTTAACTGTTTTCTAAAAAATGAATTTGGGAGGTGTCTTTCCTTCTATTTATTGGTAAACTTCAGTTGCACTTTCAGCTGCTGGCACGTTTGTCCCTGTGTTAGTAACGTGGAAGCTTTTAAAATATGCAGCACAGAGCAAACCTGAGGGTGTTTCCTTGGTGTTTTTCTGGGACTCTCTCCCTTTTCTTAAGGAGCTCTGGTAGCGTAGTGGTTACGACTCGGGCTGTGAACCGCAAGGTCAGCAGTTCGAAACTACCAGCTGCTCCGCGGGAGAAAGATGAGGCTTTCTACTCCCGTAAGGATTTACACCCTCGGAAACCCTGTACAGGGTCGCTATGGGTCGGTTCCGACTCCACGGCACATAACAACAACAACAACTCCCTTTTCTTCCACATTGTTTTTGGTCCCAGGTAATTTTAATTCTCTGGTTTCTGACCTCCTGAGTGACACTTAACCTGCTATGAGATGAGATGATTTACCATGAAGAGTCAAAATTCATTCTTCACCTTCTAAAAAGCATTAAATTTTCTTTCAGCTTGCCATTAGATCAGCTCTTTGTACATCTGCTTCTGATTTCCAAACTCCCTGCCTATTTACTACACATTTTCGTGATTTTTATTGCTTATTCAGAATGAATGGCTGGTGTTTGTTGTGAAGAAGGTAGAACACCCTGCTCCCCTCCACCCAAGGAAATTTAATACAAGACAAATTAGGAAGAAGGCTCTCTGTAAGACAAATATGAGCAGATAAATATTTTAAAGCCTTTTTTTTTTTTTTTTTTTTACTTTTACTATTCTAGGAAGCCTGAGAAGACAGAACTTTCTGTTTTCTCATTTGTGCTGGAGCCCATAGCTATTTGCCCAGAGTTGTGTCAGTAGATCTCATGCTCACATCAAGTTTTGCTGCAGTCTTTATTTGACCTATTCAACCAAATGGCTGCCTGAGCCACTGATCTGGCCCAGGGTAGCAAATCAGTGAATTCATCACTATTGCAATCAGCCTTAAAGATTAAAAAGCAGTCATCCTTTGAGTCATCCTAGCCAAAGAAATGAGCATGTGCTCTTCATTGGAGAGTAACCTTAACCATTTGCATCTGCTACATAATTCCAGGTCCTAGCTAGTAACAAACTCTCCCTAAAGATGGTACATAGAAAGAGCTGGCTGAGGTCACTGCAGATCTGTCATTGGCTGACCATATAACCTTGGCCAGGTGACTTAATCCCTGTGGGTCTAAATTTTCTTATCAATGAAATGAAAGAGATGGAATCAACACTTACATGATTCCTAAGGTTCCTTTCCCTAAGGAGTCCTGGTATGGCCCTGTAGGGTGAGCACTGAGTTACTTACCTCAATGTTAGTGGTTCAAACTCATCAGCTCCTGCTCAAAACACTATACAGGGTCACTGTGAGTCAAAACTGACTCAATAGCACTTAACAACAAGGCACTTTTAATAGATTAAAAAAAGAGTCTAGGGTCAGAAAGATTTAATTAGCTTTGAACAGGTCCAAATAAAAGTCTAGGTATTTTATTAAGAAAGAAGGTAATGCTTTATCTGTAGTTGGAAGCAGATCATAAAGTTGCCAAATACAGTGCCTCCCTTGTGTATACAAAAGAAGCTATGGCCATGATGGAACCAAGCAGAATTAAGCTTCCCAATATTTGTTTGGGGTTGTGGAATACAAAGGGATGCTCTGTTCCAGCTCCAGTTTGAGACTAGGACAAGGGATTGTGGATGGAGTCTTAGCACCTCCTTAGATGGCAGATGTTGGGAGTGCAGATTCTCTGTTACGCATCATGGATAAATAACAGCAGCTGGTATGCAATAATAGTTTAGTCAGGTTCAAGAGAAATCCTTATACTGGTTCTTTTATTTACTATGTTTCTAGGACAAAGAAGATAATTTTGTATTTATTCCCCTAAGTCTTATCTTTTATTTCCTTCCAAGTATGTGAGGAATGAGAATAAACAATTGACAAATCATTAAAAAACTGTTTATCAGTTATCTAGTGGGAAATGGTCTCTTAATGACTGGATTTTTGCCCAAGACAAACTTACAACTCATTAAAATGTAGGGATCTGCACTGTTTGACGCTTGCTATGGTTCTGTTATGGGATTGAGAGCCCTGTCAGGATTCAGTCTGGTTGGTGAACTGAACTCATCCATTAAACATCATTGCTTACGTACTATGTTGTGTTTGCCTATAAAGACCACCTCCTACTGACTATTCAACCCATTTATTACCGTTCTCCAAGGTTAGCCTAGTCTTGGGCAAGTCTGCTCACAGCCTCCTTACAGATTATTTCTTCCTTCTCTGATAAGCTAATGTGCTGGACTTGGGAGTACAACTACAAATATAACATTTGGGAGAAATCAGAGCTGCTTTTTTGGGGATGAGGGGAATTCATGGCTGGGCACAAGAAACGAAATATCAGCAAGGTTCAAAAACAAGTGTGATCAACTTGAGATTCCCTTGTGATCTAATGCTTTTGTAAGTCTCAGGAAAAAGGGTTCTTTCTTTTAGATCCCTGCTGAATCCAGTTTGTATTAAGACCAGTAAATACCATGTGGCCATTGTTGTACTCATTTTCCCGAGTCAAAATCATCTGATGTGGTGCTGTGGTGGTGTAGTGAGTTATGAGTTGGACTGCTCACCAAAAGATCAGCAGTTCAAGTCTACCAGCTGTTCTGCGGGAGAAAGCTGGAACTTTCTGCTCCTGTGAAGATTTACAACAGGGTTGCTAAGAGTTGGATCCCACCCCACCACCACCAAATTGTATGGAAACAATCCAGTTTTAGTCAACAGATGTTGAAAACTTCAACTGTTGTGTTTAGGTGTTAGCAGTAGGCAGTGCTGTCTATGTAGTATTCCTGCATCCAGGTGTACTTGTATTTATGAGGGGATTTTTTCCTTTTTTTTTTTATAAACCTATTTTAATTTGAGAACTTGTTGGGCAGAGTTGCTGGTATTTAAATACAAATATCTTGTCTTTTGCATGTCAGAATTGGCTACATTTCCTACAGGTGAAAATTCCTGAGTCATTGTTCTGACAGTGTATAAAGCCTACCCTGGGCAGAAACATACTAAATGTTACTTCTCTCTGTTGCTCTAGAGAATTTGTGGTCCTATTGATTCCTGTCCCTGTTTCTGAGGCTCCCCACTCTATTGCACAGTTGTTGTTGTTATTATGTGCCATGGAGTCGATTTTGACTCATAGCGACCCTGTACAGGGTTTCCGAGGCTGTAAATCTTTACGGGAGCAGAAAGCCTCATTTTTCTCCCCCGGAACAGTTGGAAGTTTCGATCTGCTGACCTTGCGGTTCGCAGCCCGATTCGTAACCACTCCGCTACCAGCTGGTATCTCAGTCATGGCATGCTTATATTATAAGCCCACAGAGATTTCCACAGTTCTATTAGGACAGGGGAACCTTTGAAGAGAGTCCCTTTTTAATTTGACAGATATTGAGTATGATGCAGTAAATCCTAAGTTTCCTTACCCTTTCTTGTTTTCACTTTTGTAGTTGGCTCTCTGCTCTTGAAAGCACAAAATGGCTCCATCACCTGTCTGTGCTTCTGAAGTCGGCACTTCTGGTGGTGCATGCTGTGGATCGTGATCAGCGACCGGTGCTGGCTCACTGTTCAGATGGTTGGGACCGGACCCCCCAGATTGTGGCATTGGCTAAACTATTGCTCGATCCTTATTACCGAACCATAGAGGTGGGTGCATTGGGTACTTGAAGATGTGTGGAAGATAAGTTCATGCCACACAGCCAGCCCCTTGGTTAGGATCCCTTTGAGCATAAATTTTAAGGGTGGTGATTAGGTCTGGAACGAGTAAAATGATTTTGTTGTTTACCTTGTGCTTATCAAAAGAAGGCAGACTGTGGGTAACAAGGTGTTGAGAATATACACGTGTGTCCCTTTACAGCCTGGCTACGTACTTGAAACAAGTTTTGTCTACCCTAGGAAAGTAGGACTTCTGTTAAAAGGGTCTTGACTTACCTGTTGTAATGGCACTTGGTTCAACACAGGGTGTTCTATGGTGAAGGAGCCCTCCTCTGAAATAAATCCCTATTGGATTAAAAATGTAAGAAACATCATAAAGGTCTCTAAAATAACATATGTGACTATTTGCAAAATCTAGGGTAGATAAGGCCTTTAAAGACATGACTCTTTAAAATAATACCCAAGGCAGAAATGAAAAAAAAAAAAAAAATTAGAGGGTAGGGGAAGCGTGTGGTTTTCATACAGTGAATAAAAGAACATAAAAGTACAAATAAGCTCAAAGGGTCAGATAAATGCATACTTAGTTACCCTTTCAATGATTATGGACTCAAGTTCAGGGAACTGGATATTTTTCTTAAGGATGAACTTGGTGTCCCAACAAGAAGAACCATTGGCTGTGGGCCCAGACAACTCACTCTGACGGGCTTGCTGGCAGGCTGTGTACGGATTGTTGCCAGTCACGCCAGGTTTGGGACTGTCACAGTCTGGCTAGATGAGCATAAATGGTTTTTCCTGGCTGCTTCCCCGCAGGGTTTCCAGGTTCTTGTGGAGATGGAGTGGCTGGATTTTGGCCACAAGTTTGCTGACCGGTGTGGTCATGGGGAGAACTCGGATGATCTGAACGAGCGTTGCCCAGTATTTCTGCAGTGGCTTGACTGTGTTCATCAGCTTCAGAGGCAATTTCCTTGCTCTTTTGAGTTCAATGAAGCATTCCTTGTGAGTTGGGGACATGGTTCTGTTTCTGGGATCTCCTAAATTGGTGGGGATATCAACACAGATGTTACCGGGCCAAATTACACATGAAACTGCAGACTCTTAGAATTTATTAGAGGGAATATTCTTTTCCATATTTGAGTGGAAAAAAACAACACACACACCAAAAAACCAACAACACAGAACAGATATTTGCTTACTCAGTGAATTCAGGTATACTAGGCTTGCATAAAAAGTCCCTTGAGTTTTTTTAAACTTAGGTTTTAAAAGGGATTCTGTTGTGCCTTCTATTTGATTCCAACTTAAATTATGACAGAGTAGAACTGCCCTATAGGATTTCCTATGCTGTAATCTTTGCAGGGTCCTGGTGTGGCACAGTAGGGTAAGCACTGGACTGCTAACCACAAGATCGGTGGATCAGAAACAGCAGTTGTGCCCCTCAGTACCCTGAGGTTTGGAGTGAGTGAAATAAATGACTTTGCTCTTTTACCTTGATAGCACTTAACAACAACAACAACAGTCTGTACAAGAGCAGATTGCTAGGTCTCTTCTCCCACGGAGCTGCTAATTGGATCTGTTTAGCAGCTGAGCATTTAACCATTGCACCACCAGGGCTCTATAAAAGGATGCTAGAAACCCAAACTAAACCCTCTGGCAACAAGTTGAAACTCACAGAGACCTATACAGGGTTCTCCAGGCTGTAAATCTTTACAGGAGCAGCCAGCCTCATCTGTTTCTCAAGAACTGCTGACCTTGCATTGCAGTTAACAGGCCAGTGGTTATCCTACAGTGCCACCAAGACTCCTTAGAAACCCTAAATAGCATTTAGAAAATGAAGCAATCAGAATTTCCCCTGCCCCCCTCCCCCCCCGCCAATCTATCCACCAAATAGCCCACATCTGTCTAATGCCCTCATTCTCCTCAGCTGCCTGTTATAGGTACTATTCCTGCCCTTATCACCCCCTCCCTTTCTCCTCAGCAATGTTTGCCTTCTTTGATCCAAGTAGTATTTGGCACAGTTTAGCCTACCCTTCCTTTTTAAAAAAAAAATGGTTTGTCTTAATTGTTGAAAATATACAAGAACATACACCAATTCATCTTTTATATGTACTGTTCACTGACATGAGGTTGCATACCCCCCTTTTCAAATTATTCCTCCCCCATTCACATAAATTCACTGCGTTTTCTATCTAGTATTTTGAGTTGCTGTTGTCCCTTTTTTAACACTTTAGTCAGTTGGTTTAGCACCTACTCTTAGTTCTCCTGTTACCTCACTGTTGGTACTTTTGGTCTCTTAGCTGGTTCCTCTTCATCTCTCCTGCTCTAAATGTTGGGACTGTGCCAGGGCTCAGTCTCCAAGGTCTTGCTTATCTGCACTTCTTCTCTAGGGATTCTCATCCAGTCTCAAGGCTTTAATTGTCTGATGTCTGACTGTCTGACACGCACCTTTCCTGATTTTACACCATGCAGTATCCCCTTGTTCTGTTCAAACAACCGCTTCTTGGTCTATGTGCAGGTTCTGCACGAGCACAACTAAGTATTCTGGGATTTCTAATCTTTTGCAATATTATCCATAACTTATGGTCCACACAGTCAGTGAAGCTGAACTATATTAAGAATACAGCTTCAGTATTGGAGGAAGAGTCATTAACAATGTGCAATATATGCAGATGACACAGCCTTGTTTTTCCTTTAGTCACAAACTTCCAGTGACTTTCCAATTTACACAGAATAATAGCCAGAATCCTGAAAATGAGATGACTTAAAGGATACTCTTTGAAGCAACCTCTCTAGCATCATTCCCTATCACTCTCCCTTGTATAATCTTCAGTCATACTGGCCTCCTTGCTTTTCTTCAGAAATCAATCTGCAACTACGTCAAGGCCACTCATTACACTTGCTGTTGCCTCTGCCTGGCACAGCCTCTGATACTTACATGACCTGCTGCTTCTCTCACATCAGGTCTCTGCCAGTGAGGCCTAACAAAAACCTTCCTATGATTCTTACCCTGCCTTACTAGTCTCCATAACACAGGCTGCCCCTCCCCTAGCTTGGACATGCTTGCTTGCACTGTCTGATTATTGATGCATCTCCAGTTCCCATGCTAATTGTCTGGGGCTTGCCAGACACTAGAATAATGTTAGATGAATGAGCAGTTTTGTGCAGACTTGGGTTGCACACTGGTCTGCTCTTGGACCCAGTTCATAATACTCTGTTATTCATGAGGGTGATGTTTAACTCAGGAGGGCAGAGAGATAAAGAGGTAGTCGGGGGTCCTTCCCTAGCATCTTTTGGTTCAGGAGTGATGGTGGGTAGGGGTTGGCCCCTGGAATTGGCCTTGTGGAAGATGCAGTTAGGTGGCTTAGTTGGCTCTTCCCCATTCTTACGGGCTGTGAACTCTCTGGATTGGATTTCAAGGAGGGTGGCCGAGGCGGGCTGGCCTTTTTCCAGAGGATGCATGCCCCACTGCTTGATGTGGCCTCATTGGACTCCCACAGGTGAAACTGGTGCAGCACACCTATTCCTGCCTCTTTGGAACATTCCTGTGCAACAACGCCAAGGAGAGAGGAGAAAAGCATACTCAGGAACGGACCTGTTCTGTGTGGTCGCTTCTTCGGGCAGGCAACAAGGCTTTCAAAAACCTACTGTATTCTTCTCAGTCAGAAGCCGTATGTATTTTTCAGCCTTTGCTCTGTGATTGTCAGAAGAAGTTGGGGTAGAAGGGACATCTGGGAGCCTTTTCCTGCTGTCTCTGACAGCCTGTTTCCTGGTGATCTCTGATCTGCTTCTGTCAAGTCTCTGCTTAGTCTGGTTTGACTCCCTTGCTGCTGTGGACACGAAGGTTTTCTGGCACCTCCTCCAGAGCTTAACTTGTTTTCCTAATGAGTGAACAGGCACTGAGTGGTTCTCTGGCTCTCCCTGAATGCTTGGACAGCAGAGGCTGCTACTAGACTCGCAGTGCCCTTCTACTGGCAAGAGACTGCAGCTTCTTGTCACAGAGAACAGAAAACCGTGTCTGTTGATTCTCTGTGATCACACAGGGAGCTAGCAGGTCCTTAAGACTGCATTCCCCAAGGGAACACTGCATCTGTTAAACAGTGAAAAGGAGCTGCATATTTCTGTGTATCAATACAGAATGCATCTTAAAACGCTTTAAAAAGTCAAAAAAGAGGCTAATCAGAGGTCATACTACTTTTCTGGACTATTAATATGCTTTCTCAATTTAAGTAGTCAGAGGAAAGATATAAGCCAACTGCTTCTCTTGCTCTTCTTACTGTGTCTACTGGAGAAGTAACAGCACTGGAGAATATTCCTTCCTTTTCACATGATTAGTTTAAATGATCCTATAAAACAGGCTTGACAGTGTCCTCGGAAGCAGCTTGTGCACCAGGGGGACAATCACCATCCAACAGGATGACTCACTGTCTTATGCAGTAAAAGCAACAAATCAAGCTGGTGAAAGTCAGTCATTCAGTAAAGGCCTGACTGAGGGGGAATTAAAAGTGAGACATGGGTGTTTAAAAATCCTTCTGGTTTCCATGCTCCCAAGAGGGTCTCAGGTAAAAAATGTCACCAAACAAAAATCTCTCATCTTGCATGGATCCTCTCAGAAGGCAGAACTATGTGCACTGATGCTGCCTCTACAGAGATCCATGCTGGGCCTGTTGGGTGTTCTAGCTCGGTGTTTTTTCTTGATCCTCATTTCCAGACAGTTCTGTAAGACGTGGTGTGTGGGATGTGTTAAATCTGTATCGTCTTCTCCTCAGGTGCTGTACCCAGTGTGCCATGTGCGTAATCTGATGCTGTGGAGTGCAGTGTACCTGCCTTGCCCATCCCCCTCCACCCCTGTGGATGACAGCTGTGCACCTTACCCGGCCCCAGGCACCAGCCCTGATGATTCACCCCTGAGCCGGTGAGCTCAGGGTCGATGCCATAGGCGTCAGGTCTTACGTGGATGCATTCTTTAGTTGGGGTATGCCCAAAGCTGGTCAGAACATGATGTTGTCTGGTTTCAGAACATCTTCCTAGATCTCTGAAGTATTCTCAGGGCAGGCAAAGGATTTCTGGGCTCCAAGGCCATAAGGACCTCCTCCTAAGAGGGGTCCGCATGGCTCTGCTGCGTGTGATGAGCAGTTTCTAAGTAATGGTTCTCTGGGCTCCTTTGTGACCACCTGGCTTACACTATACCCACTGCTTTGCGCCCCCCACTTTGTGACAGGATTTTTTTTTGATTCTGAAAGGCAGATGCTGCCAGATGACAGAAAGTTTGGTGTTGTCACTTGTGGATTCACTTTATTGAATCCAGACAGATAGATAAGAAGTTCAAATGCTACACTACTGATAGTCTGCAGTGCTATTTGCCTTTGGCCCTAGTTGAGAGAAACTGCAGCCTAGGGGGCCTCCGTGCTTCTCAGCAGAGGAAGCAGGCTAAGCCCTACTTCCCAGATGCCATAGCTCCTTGAGTAGCTGTCATGAAAACAATTGTGAAACAACCGCCTCTCACAAGTTATTTCCTTACTTCCCTATAAATTGCTTCATATATTCTCAATCCCTCCAAACTCCTTTCTTTTAGGCTACCAAAGACTAGATCATTTGACAATCTGACCACAGCCTGCGACAATACAATGCCTCTGGCCAGCCGGCGTAGTAGCGACCCGAGCTTGAATGAGAAATGGCAAGAGCATCGGCGCTCGCTGGAACTGAGCAGCCTGGCTGGCCCTGGGGAAGAGCCACTGGAGGCTGACAGTCCAGGGAAGCCAGCCAAAGTGCTGGGGGGCGCTGAGCTCTCGGTTGCAGCTGGAGTGGCTGAGGGGCAAATGGAGAACATTTTGCAAGAGGCCTCCAAAGAGGAAAGTGGGACTGAGGAACCTGTCCACAGGGGGGATGCTGAGATACAGGAGGTGAAAGAAGAGGCTCTCTCAGAAATAATGGAGAACAGGAGGAAGATGCTGGAGGGCTCAGCCTTTGCAGTTTATAACGAGCCAGAGCTGGATGATGCTCCAGTCACAGATCTGTCTGTGTTCTCACAGACTCCTCAACAGCCAGGTGGGCACAGTGTTCTCGTCAGTCCACTCCAGGAACCCCTTGTGGGAGAGGACTTGAAGGTGAGCACAGTGGAGCAGCCTCAAGCAGGCAGTATTCCAGAGGACAGGGAGCAGGAAACAGTTCTTCCAGTCGCAGTAGATGTAAAAGTTGGTTCTGGTACCTCACAGTCAAGTTCTCTGCTGCACTCCCAAGTCCCATTTGAGATCCCAGGACCAAATGTGGACAGTTCCATGGATGTATTAATGGAAGATAAGGTGAAGTCAGAAGATGGGCCCCAAGGCCATCATAGACCTTGCTTGGTAAACAGTGGCAGATTCAGTGGTAAGGACATGGTTGCCCAAGCCATGGAGCCCACGATTTTGGAGAGGAGCCTGGCTGAGAGGCCCCCAGTGGGGTCTGAGGCGCACAGAACTTCCCCTGGTCGCACTCACAGCCCAACACGTTCCCTTTGTGCCTTGCCTTTAGATGAATGTAGAGAGGGGCTTCTTGTGGTATGCAATGGTGCCCCAGAATCTGAGAACAAGGCCTCAGAACATCCCACAGGGCTTAGCACTCTGCAGAAGTATCCCACACCCAATGGGCACTGCGCCAATGGTGAGGCTGGTAGGAGCAAGGACTCCTTGAGCTGCCAGCTCTCTACTATGAGCTGCAACTCCACCCACTTACACTCGAGGAATCTGCCCCACAAGTGGCTGCACAGCCACTCGGGAAAGCTGTCTGTGGCCAGCAGCCCTGAGCAGCCTTCTCGCAGCCACCTAGACGATGACGGTATGCCTGTCTACACGGACACTATCCAACAGCGACTGCGTCAGATTGAGTCAGGCCATCAGCAGGAAGTGGAGACCTTGAAGAAGCAAGTCCAGGAGCTGAGGAGTCGCCTGGAGAGCCAGTACCTGACTAGCTCCTTACGTTTCAATGGGGACTTTGGGGATGAAGTGGTGAGTACACCATGGTCCCTATGTGGCTGCCCATGGAGATGGGGCATGCTGAGACTGGTTTTTCTTTGTGTACATGCATGGTGATTGGTAAAGAATTGGAAACGTCCATAATAGCCATGCAAATGAAACTCTACCTCTCTTCTTGTCTGCCTGGCTTACTTTCCATGGGTGTCCCATTTGTGCAGGTGGGGTGAGGAAGAGAGTTAGCACTCACACATGGTTGGTCAATGTCTTTGGAGAGAGAGGTTCATATATCTCAAGAAGAGCCTGAACTGTACAGAAGGACATTGTAGGACTGTCAAATATTCTTGCCAAATTATAGTACCTACTCTAACTTATTGTTAAATGCCATCGAGTCAGTTCTGACTCAAGAGCAACCCTGTAGGTGGTAAGCTATTACCCTTCCCCTTGCAGTCAGTCCCCCCATCCCCCCAAAAAAGCAAAACAGCCCTTGGTGGTGGACAGAGGAATAGAGAGAGCTGGTTTTGAGCACTATTGAGAAATTAGCACTGATGGGGCTTGGTAACTAGAAATGGGAGAGCCAAAGAGGAGGTCCTCCCTTGGAAGATCTGAGTCATTGTATTCAACTACAGATGTGAACCTGGCTTTGCAGTAGACACATACATTAAAGGCGGGCATGTCCAGTGACTTTTGATCCAGAATGACTTCGTAGCTTTTCTTCATATTAATGATTCTTCATTTTCCTAATGAATTCCTCAGAGAAAGGAAGGTGGTGTGCCCAGAGCACTTGGCTGTAACCCAGAGATGCAGGGTAGGATTAACAGGCCCCTGGAACTGAGCTTCAGTGACACTCAGAGCTCACACGCCCTTCTGGTCACTTTTTCCCTCCCTTACTTCCTGGAACTCTAAGACCCGTCTTTCCACTCCGATCTCTACACTCAGCCTAAACCATGTGCATACCTCTACAAGCTGAGCTCAACTTAGTCTCTGCACCTGTACATACTGATTCTAGATGGTTGGGCAGCCCTAATTCACAGGCCCAACACTAACACCCCCTCACCCCCTATTCTCCCTTCCATACCAAATCCTTTTTCCTTCTTTTGGGAGGAGACCAGCTTCATTCTGTTCAGCTGTGTTTGTTTGCCAACAGACTTCAATTCCCGACTTGGAAAGCAATCTGGATCAGAACTGTTTGTCTCGCTGCAGCACAGAGATTTTCTCTGAAACCAGCTGGGAGCAGGTGGATAAACAGGACACGGAGGTACAGGCTCAGCCCCTGCTCTGAGCACCATCCATGCAACTGTCTTGTGGTTCTTCTCCACCCTCATTCCTCCCCCATGCCCTGGCTAAAGAAGAGCCTCATAACAGTTTGCCATGAGCCTTGGGCATCGCAGCTCCTGTGCGCCCCTGCCACGTCTAGAATTCCTGAGTCAGGGACACTCGGCAAACCGGCCCTCTCTCACTTCATTGCGGCTCTCTTAACAACCCAGGGTGCTGCTGCCGCCTGCTACTTTATCTCAGGGGAGTTTGGAGTTCCCCAGGAACATGATTTGGACGCCTTTCTTGTACTCCTGACAGCGTACCTACTGGGTTGGTGCCACTGGAGCTGGTGTGTGTGGTCCTTGTGACCGTTGCGGGCCCCAGATGGCTCTGTGGACTCCAGCTGAACAGCCCATCTCTTATCACTAACCTGGCCCCATCTGTTTTGCAGATGACCCGTTGGCTCCCTGACCACCTGGCCGCCCACTGCTATGCGTGTGACAGTGCCTTCTGGCTCGCCAGCAGGAAGCACCACTGCAGGTGCCCTTGGGGGTGGGGTATGGTGTGTGGCCAGGGGTGTGGAGGCTGAGATTTGGCCCATAGGAGCCTAAAGAAATGAGAAATGGCAGGTACCTGCTGGCAGGATTCTGTCTGAGGCAGACAATGGAGTGTACAGCCTCCACTCATCATTTGTGCCTGAGATTGGTGTTTGCAGAGCTGCACTGGGTATCTTTATTTTAATTGCAAGTGATCAGTACTAGATCTTGAAATGTGCAAGTGGTAGTACACCCAAACCACCCTGTCTTGTTTCCAGAATAAAAACTATTTTTCCTCCTGTGGGCCAGGAACGTCATTTTCCTGTTTATCCTTGCTTCCTGGCCCCAAACTGGTTTCTCCTTGTGAGCAGATTCCCCAGCAGGGGGAGTCTTAGGGACAGCGGAGGACAGACTACCGAGAAGTTGGGGCAGTGATGAAGCACTCAAGATGCTTAGCTCTAGCTGGGAGCTGACCATCTGACAGATGTTCTGTTCTTAAGATCAGACATTTTGCAGAATAGTATCATCTTTGTCCAGCGACAGTACTTCTAGGTTCTTGCATTTCCCTACCCTGCATCTCAGCCCAAGTGCCATATAATATAGCTTCTCCTCTGAGCTCTCTCCCCTCCTTGCAGGGACACTGACCGTGTTGACCAAACGTGGTGAGCATTTGCAACCAGCTGTCTGTGATGTCTGCAAATCTACAGTAACCTCTTGAAACTAACGCTGTCCCCGGGCACTCACTGGAATGACACCTGGGGATGGAGAGCACAGGCAGGCAGGTGGACTGGGAGGCCCATCAGAGCAGCTGAGGGTGGGCTGCTTTGCGGTGCAGTCACCACTCTCCTTGTGACCAGAGCAGGAGCTGGTCTTGCTTCCAGAGCTGTTTCTTTGAGTTAATTCAGTCATTGAGATGCCGGGATTTTGCATCATTGCTCCTTTTTTCTAAAGAGATGCAGACAGAACAGAGGTTATCTTCCCAGAGAATCACACTAGCATGAACCACATTCAGGGAAGACTTCATTTAGGATCCTCTGAAAGAAGCCAGACAGGGAAACTCAGCTAGTCAAAATTCATGTCAGGTTTTTGATCCAAAAGTGTAGCAGGTATGATAAACGTAGATATTCAGAAATTAGGTATTTTTTCTGTATAACCACAGATTCTTGCTACCTCATGCTTTTTGAAAACATAATGAAGTGTTTATTATATTCTACAAGATGGGAATTTTATATTTGGTTTAGTTCTCTGTCCTTCCACTGCTCTATATCCAATTGTCTCTTTTCTCAAATGGCATTCAACATTCTCTCCTCCTGTAAGTATCCATATTAGCAGTGGGTTGGCATTCTGAGGTGTGCAGACGTTTAGCTGCCTTCCTTTTGTCTTCTGTGGGCTGAGTCAGGCCCCTTGGGATCTCTTATTCTTGGGTTTATTGGGATTGATTTGTTCTTAAGAATCCTAAGGTGACCAAAACTCATCCTCTCCTGCTGGCAGTGAAGGCTGTCACTCTGACTGTATAGACCTTCAAGGGGAGAAGGGGGAGGGACTGAAGCCTTCAGGTAGAGCTCTGATTTTTCCTGGAGGTGCATGGGGCAGGGGAGTGAGCCATAACTGACTAACACTGATCTAAGCACGGGGTGTTTGTATGTGCACGTGTGTTCATCTGTGTTCTTGTTCCTCCACTGCTATTCACTGAGCATGGTGTCACAAGCTGCTTGTCTCCTGATTGTGCATGCAGCCTACAGATTAGCAGCAGACAGCAGCGGTCTCTACTCAGCACTGCTGCCCTTGAGCCCAGTAGCTGTGTCTCATATCTGAGGGGCTGGAGGCAGCAGTGGCACTTGACTCTGGCCTCTCAGTGATGACAAGTACAAGATGGGTGTGGCCCACTGGGTTTTCTTGGGCCAGGACTTACCCATTGAGCTTGCAGTGCTTCTGCTCTGGGCCCATTTGTTCTTACAGGTCTTTCCTGAACAGCATTCTCTTGTGTCCTTGGTGGTAACTTGAGCCTTGGGCCATACTAGTGGGACATCCAAGTGCCCTTGGCTCTAAAGTGAACATGATTAATACTGCCCTGATCAGCTTGGTACTGGTTTAGAAAAATGAGAGTGTTTGATCTTAGAGGAGTTTCCAGCACATCTGAATTACATGCAAAAAGTTCTGTCTTCTGAAACTGGTTTCCCCACCTCTACCTGCTTGCTGACATTAACATTATTTTCTGTCTCCTCATCTCAAGGAATTGTGGGAACGTATTCTGCTCCAGTTGTTGCAACCAGAAGGTTCCAGTTCCCAGCCAGCAGCTCTTCGAGCCCAGCCGAGTGTGCAAGTCTTGCTACAGCAGCCTACATCCCACGAGCTCCAGCATCGACCTTGAACTGGATAAACCCATTGCTGCCACTTCAAACTGAATCTTAGGTGATCTGGGCTGGAGGCTAAGCTGCTGATCCCTGAAACGGCCCACATAGCCTGGGCAGACTGAGAGGCCCGTGCGGTTTGGAATTGAGGCATGAAACCATCTGTGCAGAGTGACAAAAATTTGGGATGTACCACTGGATTGTAGATTTTTTTCTTTCCTGCCCTTCTTTTCCCCCATGCTTTTCCCATTCTCCTGTTGTCCTCAAAAAAAAAATTCCCTAATTGTCTTAATTTTTTTTTTTTCACTAGGCCAGCAGTTGCCTGGCCCCCTGTTGGTGCTGAGCCACCTGCTATCAGGCTCTGCTGCAGGTTGACTTGGCTCCTTTGGGTGGGGGCAGTCTGAGGCACGAAGTGAGTTAGCGATACACTTTGTGACCGCTTTTCACACCACCACCAAGTCAGCTTTGGTTGGAAACCTTTGCTGCAGGGGTGCTGGAGGCATCTTCCTCTGACATGTGTTCTGGGTGCCCGCTCCCACCTGACAAAAGGATAAATGGGACTGCCATTGATGGGGAGGGGTATAGAGTAAGTGGACCCCCCCCCCCCCATCCCCTCTTTGCAAAAAATAAGTATATGTCTTCTGAGGCAGGAGAGAGGAAATGGGCCAGTCTTACACCTTGGCAGCAAGGAGCAGACTTCCAAGCCTTCTCCCATGGGATTTTGTTCTTGATGCAGATTTTCTAAGACTCCCTTCATTTTTAAGGGGTCAGCAGCCTCCCTGCACCAGGCTGTGTAGCACTTCCCACCCTCAGGCATAAAATGCAAACGGGCCAAAGTGCAGTGTCTTGCTGCTGTGGGCAAGTGCCATAGCCTGCTCCCAACCCAGGCATACCTGGAAGCCCTTTTCAGAGCCTGGTCCATTCCCCAAATAATCTCTTCTGTTGCCAGCTCTGGAAATCCAGACTCAGGGTTCCAAAAATTCCCCGTTCCCAAACCAAACAAATCATGGATCTCCCCAGTGTGGGGTAGAATCAGCCTTTTACAGTGTAAGCCTTGGGGCTCAGGAGCACGGACCCTTTACAATCAATCAGCCTTCTTCCTCTTCCTCCCCCTACCTTGAGGCAGCAGGAAAGGCTCAGCAACCTCCCTGCCCTGTTCCTTGGGTCTTCATGGCACCATGTGGCTGCTGGCCAGCGGTGAGAGGCCACATGGTGAACTGCCAGCATTGCTTGGAGACGTGGCATGGCCCAGAGTAGACTCAGCAGGATGCCTCTTCTTTGTGAGCTTCATTATGGTCCAAAAAGAGCCTTAAATCAAGACTTATTTGGAGTGGAGATGTGTGGGGAGTTTGTGCTTTAGAATCCTGGCATCCATGTTTGTGCCTGCCCTCCTTCATGGGAAGGACCGTGCTTGGCTCTGCTCAAGCTACTAACTTTAACAGGGTGGATTATGGTGTGTGTGTGGGGGGTGGGTGGGTAGGTCAGGAACCCTAAATTGTGAACCTGCCCTGTCCTTCCCTTCCTGGTGGTTATCAGTTCCCTGTTCAAGGGCAAGTTGTGTCTCAGGAAGGTGCCTCCTGTGTGTGGGGAGTGATTCAGACATGGCCCCAAAGCCTTCCCTGGAGCTCTCAGTCCAGGCAAAGTCCGTAATAACTGCGCATGCCTCTGACATCCCCCTACATCAGGCTCCTCAGAGTCAGAGTTGGTGAAACAGGGTGTAGTCCTCCTCCCTATCTGGGTGGTCTGGCCGGCAGGGAGGGAGAAGTTGGTCTAATGAAGATTGTGACAGGTGCCAAGAGGTGACGATACGGGTTTCTTGGTCTGTTGTACATTGTGAATAAATGCTTGCAGCTCTTAGTCCTTTTTTGATCAAGGAAGCACTTTTTTATTAATATTTTTCTTTGTCTGTAAAGGAAGAACCGTAACTCTCCGTAGCTGTACATATAACCTTTTTCTCCTAAAGAGGAGTCAGTCAGTGCTCCTATATTTTTCATTTTTTGTCAAAGCAAGAAGTAAATACTTTAGAATTGTTCAATATATAAATAAAGTGAATAAAGTTTAGCGTTCGCATGGTAGCATTGGCTAACACTTCCTGATCCTCTTCTGTTTTTCCTCTTACACGGGCAGCGTGGGTTGAGGTGCCGCTGGGATCCTGGCCCTTTAACAAAAGAAAACTGCAGGTTTCTTTTCAATTCTGGACTTGGAAGGAGCTGGCGCCAGAGTACCAAAACATTGGTTGGATGATTTTATCCCTTACATCTCCCCAGCTTAAACAGACAATCAGGTATCATAACAACTTCTTCCCTGTCTGAAGAACTGGCATCAGCAGTGATTTCAACTACCTCTGGACTCCAGTCTCTGGTTGTTACTCTGGTGTGGCATTTTGGGATAAGGCACTGGACCACAAAATCTGTTTGAACCTCAAAAGTGGTGGTTCAAATTCACCAGCTGCTCCGCGGAAACCCCATCTGGGGTTGCTATTAGTCAGAACCAACTCGACAGCACTTAACAGCTCTGATTCCTCAAGCCACTTAGTTCCCCACACCCAGAGCATCAGATTGTACCTGAACGGCAAGTAGGTGCTGAGCCGTGTATGAAGAGCAAAAGGAGATGTGAGGGCTGGGCTAGCAAATGCTACTGCCTATTTTTGGATGCGAGTCTTGGTGTGGTGCTGTAGGATAAGTGCTAGACTGCAAGATCAGTTTGAACTGCAAAGTCGGTGGCTCACACCTACCATCGGCTCCTTGGAAACCCTATACAGGGTCGCTATGAGTCAGAACTGACTTGATGGCACTTATCATCCTTAGATCAAAATTTGGGTGGGCAGAGAATTTGGGGGCGGGGACTGAATTGGATGTTATGCGATTCTGCTTAGGAACTTTCCTTCTCCTGCATCACTGTTGGGGCAGCCTTCCCTTCTCAGGAGTCTGCGGTGAGACATTGTATGTTCTTCCTCCTTAGGAGTATTGGTGTTGAGCAGGATCTCACTCTAGTAGGTCACCAACCTATCGGCTCTAGTGAGTTGGCTGGACTCCAAAGAATGACCCTGTTTAGAGACTGTCTGAAGGCTTTAACTCCAGGGTCACTTTCTGTGTAAACTCTGTCTTAAAACAGCTGAGTTTGTTCCAGTCTGAAAAGTTGTGCAGGACAGTCAGCATCTAATACAGAATTCGCCTCCCTTCAGCCTACCAAGGAGGCCCACCAGTGTATTCAGATTACAGTATGAGAAACCTATGTGCTCACTGTAGCCCTTATGTAGCTTCCTGGTGTTTCTTCAGCCACTGTTTTAACCCTTACTGAGTGCCAGCACCAGAATGGACTTTCGGGCTGTAGGAACCTCAAGGTGAGCAGCTGGGGAAAGGAAAACGAAGTTCACATAAGTCAGGGTGCTGCGTCTGGAGCAAAGGGGTATGAATTGTGACATGACAGGATGTCCTCCTAATTTCCTATCCTGTGACATGCACGCAACATTTCATTCTTTCCATGCTTCTGTGCCCCCTTAACCCCAATCCAGAGAGAGATATGACACATTAACTCTTGAGCTGCCTCAATCCACCTGATTTTTTAGTGAGGATGTAGAGAGGGTTTTTTTTTTTTCACACATTCTACTAATGTGCTTGTTAGACAGCAAACGTTAAGAATTTCAAAGGTACCGTGGCAGGTTTCCAGCTATTAAAAAATATCAAAATGGCAATACGACGATCCGCTTTTGCTCAGAGAGCTGGTCTGCTTGGCTGTTGGCATAGGAGACCCCCACACCTACTGAAGTTGTTTGCTCCAGCTCTGGCCTCTTATCGATCTTTCCAGAATAATGGCTGATTTGAAGGTGGTGTTGCAGAGTTTCATTTATCTGGTGCTGGATCATGTGACCTGTCCTCAGGGCTGAGCCCTGATTGCATTCACTGAGAACAGGGTTCTGGCTCTGGAACAGCAGTGTTAGTAGATGGACTGTAGAGAAAATGGCTGGTTCTTCAGGAGTTTCAGGTCACATGATAGAGGTCCCAATGGTTTAATATCTAGTCACATCTTCAAGGAAGTTATTCTAAGTTAAAAGGTTTCTCGAGAGCAGGACTTCTCTGGCATTTAAGCACTAATTCCTGTCCCAGCATGAGGCACCCCGCAGCTGTGCTCCTCTATGGCCTATGTAAAGTTGGTCCCCTACATATGCCACACAGACTCCAGTGGCCCACCAGGTCCAACAAGCCTCATGCCAGGTTTTGTAGGTGTGCAAAGCTTGAATGGTGTGGGAGAGCTAGAGGAAGTACTCTTAGAAATGGGAATGACAGTTTTAAATTGCTGTTGTATTTGATAACAGAGGGTCTTTTCAGTCATATCCAAGGCCTTAATTTTTCTCAATGCAAGTAGCAGCTGCATCTGTATTGTCAGTATTCAGATTACATTTGACATTTTTAATTGGCCTTTAACTGCTTTCCAGTTTGGCTTATGTTTGTAACAATCCTATGAGGATCAGTTGCTGTTGAAGTAGACTGTGTTGCTGTAGATAGCAGTGTTTGCCTATTGTAATAGCATTTATTCTGCTGCATCCCCAGTGACCACAGAAATGGAATACATGTTATTGTTACCTACACAGTTTTCCTGTCCCAAGATTTGGTTTCCTTTGGTGGAGTGGACATTGATTCTCGGTGCTGTGATTGTGTCATGTGTGAAGGCTGAACCTGATGATTCCAGGAATGAGGGGCAGCATGGAATCTTGGGTCATCTAGTTTCATGGTTTTCAGACTGTTCAAAGGGGACAGTTGTGGGGCCGGGGGCTCAAGCCCATCCAATTTAAAAAAGAGTGTGCTGCTTAAAATGAAAGTTTGAAAACATTGCATTAATCCAGTGTCCTTTTTCAGGGGAGGAACACAGTATTATCAGGTTGTTGGTGGTGGTGTACTGTGGAGTCAATTCCGACTCATAGCGACCCTGCATAGGGTTTCTGAGGCTTTAGATCTTTACGGGAGCAGGAAGCCTCATCTTTCTCCCGCAGAACCACTGGTAGTTTCGAATTGCTGACCATGAGGGTAGCTAGCAGCCTGACTAGTAACCACTACGCTACCAGAAGTTACTCACAGTTAAAAGCAAAACTGGAG